CATCAGTACAGATTTTAGAAAAAATAGAACAATTGAAAACATCTTCACTCACCTCAAAAAAATTCGTGATCACAGCTTTGCAACAAACTAAGTTCAGTCATAATATCGCTACTGAACACATTCAACCAACATTCCGAATACTGCTGCTCAAATCTGATTTATTGAAAGTAATAACATGATAACAATTATAAGCAATGATATATAATGTATATATACTCTCGGTAAGACTCGTCGAATTTTTTTACTGAAGAATGCCAAATCGAATTTCTTGGATTGAATTTCGAGTTGCAGAGAGAAATGCTTTTGAAGAAGGTAGCATAAATCATTATATTCCATGAAGATTTCTTCGGCGGTTTGTTACTCCAGAAAAAGCACAACAGTTGACTGAAAAATGAAAGTATTAAGCACAAATACGTAGCAGAACCCATCGAAATGCAAGAATAAAAGAATTCATCCAAAACAGGCCTTAATTAAAGTTAAAAATCGAAATTTTTAAAGAAATAGAAGTGAAAGAAGAGGGACGAGTTGACCCTTGACCTAAAATGCATTCATTTACTAAAAAGAGTAGAGTGTACTAAAGTGTACAAAGAGCGTGGTTAAATAATACATAAAATCATTTCGATTACTTAATTTCTTCAAGAATATTACAAAAAGATGGAACAGTCTATTGTTTCAGTAAGACAACCACAATGAGAACGCAAGAAGCCACTCGCATCTAATTTGCATTCCAAGCGTTAAGAGTAATAGTAACTGATCCACGAAAAGCGCTAATTGTCATGTCCTCCCCGTATCACAGTACTCTTGAGTTTTCCCAATGAAAAAAAAAAGATAAATCCGCCCTATCTGCTCTCTTGCCTGCAAGTAAGATGGAGTAGTCACAGTAACATAGCCATAAGATACGAAATGGGGGGTAAAAAACGAACGACGGCTGTTTGACATATTAAGAGAAAAAGCGATGATTTGGTTGATTGGATGTGGGATTTTATCAGACCTATTTATCTGATCCTTTCGATTGTACCACTACTGCGAGATACTAGAGAATTTTCGGAAACTTATCTCCAAATTTTCCGGATTTTCTTCTTTTCCATAATGTTTCCCATCCCAATCTGTTTATTCGATTTTTGGCGCGTATGCTACAAAGGCAAACAATTCCTCAGGCTATAATTATGCATAATTTCCCAACATGTTGATTAAAACCTGGTGAAAAAATTAGTAATTTATGAGGAACATTTGATAACAAATGCAGAAACAATATCGAATAAAATGAAAAACGTCAAAAAGGATTCAGGAAAATAAATTTCGGAATAAACTAAAGTAGTCCATTAAAAAATTAAATGAAACAATCGTAATCCTTTAAGTCATGACTGAAACTAATGGAAAACCAAAGAATAGGAAAAACAAATAAATATTCATTAGGCAAAGACATAAAGAACATAACAATAAAAAGCCCTTATTATACTGTTAAACAACCGAAATGAATAGGACGGAAGAAAACTTTGTCATACTTGGTATATATTTGATTGTCTTTTTGGTGACATCCCTGCACGTAATGCCGGATATGTTTGCTTAGGTTTGTGATATTGACGTTAGATCACTTTCTCGTATATAACTGCATGGTTTTAAAAATAACGACTGCATTTTGTTAGCAAGTATGCGAGAGATAATACTTTTGATGCAATGGACTCATTTCAAACGGTAACTCAGTGTCAACTCCCATAATATTCATTTTTGGATATATATGCCTACTTCGATTTTAAATTTAATTAGTGACTTGTCCCTTTAAAATTTTTTAAATTTTTTCATTTATACGTACTAATTTAATCTCTTCATAGCAGATTTTTTTTAGTGAGATGTTCTGTGACAAGGTGACTTTCGCGAATGAATTTGCATATCACTGCAAAACTCGAAACTAATGAACTCTGATATTCAGATTTTTTTTTTTCCGGAATGGCTTATAAAATGATCAACTCTGAACAACTACGTTTATTGCATAGTTTATTTTCCGCACAGTTGGTGTGAAAACAACGCGTCGTGGTCGTTTTCTTTTGGAGATTTAACGGGAACATGTCATCGTCTTTTCCTGAGAAAGAAAAGATGGATGTTCAGGTTGATTTTCTGACAAGGTATGCTAACGAATCGTATAGCAATAAAGAGAAGAATGATGGAGTGAAAACTTTAAGATGGATTGATTTTATAAATAAATATTAAAATCGTATTGGACTAAGACAGAGTAAACATAAATTGAAAATGGAAGATTAATAGCATTGAACAGTTGATAATCCATTAAGCAAGGATTATGGGTTTACAAATGAATGCACAAAAGTAATGTATTTAAGACTATCTGAGGAGCACTGGACATCCAAAGTTATATTCAGTCAGCTCCGCTTCTACTTCATTTCAACCATTGGTTTCAGTAATATCGAACACTTTTCTATCTGTACACTGTACTCAAACTACAGGGAAGATGTAGTCGTATTAAACGACGGTGGAGCGATCATTGAGAAAGGTTTAATTTTGCATGGTTGTAATCCATCTGTACGAGTGGGTGATACTGTTACTGCTTTTAACGATAAAAAGTTTGATACGAATGAAGACTTGACTCAGGTCTATTAAAGTAATTCACTCCTCTTTTCATCCCTCATTGATAGGATCTGCTGAAAAAAAAAAAAAGAAGAAAAAAAGTTGAATAAATACTCCGACTTTAATGGATTAATGCTTCCAATGCATTGGTCACTCTCCCATGTTGTGTTTCTGGATGAAATTTTATATTTAGAACAAATTGAGCAGAGAAAATTTTAGTTCTTGTTGCAAGCAGTACAGACACGTATGAAATTTACCCTTACGGTAAATCGTCAAAAAGGTGAAACAGAAATGGACAATAAAATTGATCGTTATGTAATTGAACTGAAAAAAGCCAGTAGTGATGAATCTTTTGGGATAATTCCAGCTGTCGACCAGGATTGTGTACATTTTTTGAATTTATTTTGAAACACTCATTAAAGGATTTCGAAATCAGAAGCTCAAACTTGGCTTTTTAACAAAAATAACCATATAAGCGAGTAACACTATTGTTAAGTGATTTGCTTAAATTTGTGCCCAAAAATATAAAATTTGAGACACAGTATATAGTATCCGAATCCTCAGCTGTACACCGAGTATATAATGATAACAAGAACAAGGTCTGACCTTTTATCACCAACTGAAGATAATGCTTTAGGTTCAATTAACTGTGATGATCAAAACTGCAATTTTCTTCCACAAAATAATCAAATTACTTTCTTAACTCACATCATTGAGCCAATTTTTTTGAAGTCATATTTTTCAGGTATTGGTGGAAAAGGTGGATGGAATAGCAGCTGAAGCTGGTATTAAGGAAAAAGATCACATTAAACGTATAAATGAAGAACCGATACAATCATTGGAGGCATTTGAAAATGTTATCAAAGAGCAGCAGAAAATTGTTTTATACATTTCTCGTGGTTCAAAAATTAGTAGAAATAAAGTTGAATTTACGAAAAAGGTAATCTTTGATATGAGTAAAGAATATTGAAGAAAAGCTTATCGAAGTCTTTGGTTTACTAATAAAATTTCCTCTTGCTTGTTCCAACATAACTTATGTATAAATCAGATGTCACTGAAAAACGGTGATACCAAGTAACAAGGATGGCGAAGTGTTATTTTCCCGGGAAACATTTCGAGGGAAGTAATGGAAGAAATGGAAAGAATAGTCTATCAATTTCGATTAATTACCTCCAAATTCACTTTAGCATAACTATTAGAATTGTTTTCAGGTTGTGTGCATACATATCCCATATGAATGTGGGGACGTTTTGGGTATAACAATAAAGGATTTAATAGTAACTGATATACAAAATGGCTCAATTGGAGAAGCAAAATTTGAGGTAAATAAAGTGATGCATATATAACGAATTTCTATATATATGCCTCCTAACCTTTGATCTTTGACAAGTTTTCTAGAAGCAAAATAGATGGAAAGAAAGGAAATAAAACTTTATAAAATTTTGCTGAAGAATTTCCTTAAAATGCCTAATGGATTTATAGATAACATCAGGAAGTTTTTTTTTTTTCTTTTGCAGCTGCAGGACAAATTAATCGATATAAATGGAATAAAACTTCAAGATGATGAGCAACTGTACTATCTGTTGCAACGAATGAATGAGGACTTGGAAATAAACGTTATGAGAAATGTTATTAAAAATGATGATACTGCGGTAACAGCTGGTATATCGGCATCAGTTACCACTGCCGTTTATAGAGTTCTTATTTCACTTTCCGTCAGTTTTATTTCCTTTTCCTGAACTGATACTGAAACATGACAATATCATTTTGTCATTCAAAATCTATGAATTGATAAAACCTTGCAGTCCTTGCAAAACACACGCTCATTTGTCTATAGATAGTATTGCAATCTCATTAAATAGAGGTAATGCTACTAATTTAATACCTTTAATTAATAAATTCGATATAGATGGCGCCGTGTGAAGCATTAGGTGTACGTCCAGACGAGAATTTGATGATTTCTCGTATTATGGATAAGTCGCATGCCCAGGGTAAATTCGAACTTGGTGATGTAATCAAGAAATTAAACAGTATTCCAATTAAGGATCGTAACCAATTTTTCAAATTGTTCGAGGATGCTACTGCTGCTGGACGAGTAAATGTAATGCTTTAGTTCAAATCAATTTTAGACTTCAAAATTTCATGTCATTTGGTCAATGATGGGGAAGAAGCGAGACCCAGTCCACCGTAAAATTAATTCATTTTTTGAATGCACAGCAAATGATGGATGGTGATAATATGTAATTTGCTATTTGCTAAGTGACTAATCCTTATAGTGACATTATGAAGTTTTGTATTAAGCACCTTTTACATACTTTAACTAGTTATCCGCTTCAACTTGACTTAATATTATTTTTCTTATATGACATCAGATCACAGAGCATGATTAAAGGTGACAATATCTTGTTGCAAGTAATACATAGGATACAGAAGGATGAAAAAATACGAATTTCTAATAAACATTTTTTGAGATCATCGTTGAACGTAGTGCTGAACGTGAACTGGAATTAGAAAAACGACTCTTACCACCAAATATTGAAAAAATAATCAAAAGGCATGCTGGATATGATTACATTATTGTGAACGTTCACTATGATTCCAGTGCAGGTCGTCCGTTTGGGCTAAACGTAAGTTTTTCAAGTTCGGAAAGAGCTGAGCTATGCTAACTGCACAGCTTATTTATAAAAATTTTAAAATTTATAAAGATTATACGAGTTTTCAAAAAGTCATAGCATCCAAAACATTATTTTATGATATTGAAAAAGACAGTTTTAATATAAATATCAGAGTAAGAATTATATCAATTTAAGAAGAGAGTAAACCATGAGTTTTTTACTGCTTATCTAGCCAGATTTGCTGTTTCGAAACCAGAATTTTTCTATTTTCTCAAAAGTCATGCTACATTCACTTATTAAATGACTCGCATATTTTTTTAAAAAACATTTAGATGGCGAATGTCACTGCGCATAAAATCATTATCCCAGAAGTGGCTGAAAATACAGTAGCCTGCGATTATTTCAAAATTTATGACCACATTATAGCCATCAATGGTAATCCGGTATCGGATGTCAATGTAGCAAAGAAAATGATACGTGAATGCGGCGCAAACTTCCAGGCAATTATAGTTATAGTAGACATAACTGAACTTGAATACGACTGCCTTATTAAGTTCTCCATCATGATACACTTGGTACAAAATGAAAACAGTCGAATGGCTTTTTTACAGTGGTTAAATTGAATGATGACATCTTACCTTTTTTCAGGCTGTAATTGAACGTCCAATCACCTTGGACAGTAACAGAGAAATCAAGCGTGAAGTGGACGAATGGAAAAGAAGAATGGCACGCCCAACAAATCTCGAACAAATGCCACTAGATGTTCAGGAGATTGTCGAGAAACATGTAACCCTTCATTAATCACTTATCGTACATCAATTCTGATATATCACTTCTTCGAATTCATGTACGTTCAGATGAACTCTAGAATCCGATCACATTAAAAACTACGTAGTGTGAATCAAATGTTCATGAATTCGCGAAGATTTGGACAACCTTTGTCCAAATCTCTTCGTGGATTCATGAAAATTAGTTAACAGAGGTCAAATCCAGTCCAAGCATCTTTTTGCTTAGAAAGCTTAATATATTTAAGACAATTTAAGACAATATATTCAACAAAATTTCTAATTTCTGGACAACACTTATACTATAATTTTAAACAAAAAAACATTGCAACAGCCTGGGATGGAATCCATGATGCTCACATGGTAGACGTTAAAGAAATTTCTAATCAAAACCATTCTTTCTCAGTTCAAACAACGCGAATTCAAACAAGCAACCAATCTCGTTTCGGTTCTTCGTAAACCAACTGGCCAACAACGTAAAATTCATTTCTCAGAACATCACATTGAAACGCAGATCCAAAGTGATACACCCGTAACAAAACGCTTACGCTCATGTCGGTGAATACTGAGTGCAAAATATGATAAAAATTTTCCATACATACGTTTACGCTCATGTCGGTGAATACTGAGTGCAAAATATGATAAAAATTTTTCATACATCAACAGCAACAATTTTAAAAAACACATGATCATGACTTCACTATGAATTAAGCAATAAAAATATAAAACGGTTAAAAATCTCCAAAAATGATCTCTAGGTATGGCAGTGAAAACTCATTCGATAGAAGCAAGCCCTCAAAAACACTACTCTAACTTCTAATGAATATTTAATCAGAAAAAGTATTTGTCCTGCTTGAAGTAAACTTTTTTATGTAAACCAAACATATAGTGCAGGTTAATATAAAGATATGTTCATTAATAATGCACTGCAATCTGTTGAACTTGAAGTAATATAACAAGTTACCGATCTTGTAAGGAAATATCGCCAATAACACAGAAAATGGTGCCACTTTCAAAGAGGATAAAGAAAAAAATCAATGCGTTAACATGTAACAGCAGTTCTCGTCACATGTGAAAAAACGCGTGCAGTTTCCATGGACAAAAACTGTCAGAGACTCATTCTTTCCATCTTCAAGAACAAAGGTGAAAATACTTTCAATACTTGTTTTTGTTTTTTGCTGTTTTTTCTTTTTAAGTCCGAATTTTAGGAAGAAATCTTGAAAATAAACATTTCAAGCAACAGTGAAAACAATTCGCTGTTGTCGATCGAGCATGAGGATACCGTTAGCAGTATAAGTGTTGATACATTCCTGTACAACTTCTTCCGAGATTCCCTTCGTGAAACATTTTTTAAATACTGCCTGCAGTGGAAGTGAACGATTCTCGTCATCACTGATGCCATGATACAAGTCACGAATGACAGCAAACGCTTGGTCAAGAGGAGGAATTTCATGCTGTTTTACTTGCTCTGCAGTAATCGAAGACCGACAAACCTAAGAAAGAAATATTTATAATGAATTTTAACTCATTAGTCATTGATCATTTTGATTAATTCCGAAAGTAAATAATTAATGCGTGGTTCGAAACTTACTCAGAAACTTAGCAAAGCCCTAAAAATTAAGATTTACGTTTCGTAGAACTACATGAACATGAAAAGTCTCAAGTACAACCTCTAAAAGACGAACTGCTTCATCTATATCACTAGACTGGACCACGTCTGAAAGGCGAAGACGAGCCAGTGCTGAACTCAGTCGAATAACTGCCAATAAACTTCGTGGTGAAGTGAATACTGAATTCTAAACAGCAGCGGATTTTCAAAAAGTAAAAATATGTCAATTTATAATGAAAAAGCAATTCGCCATATCGATAATCTTTTCGTCTTGCGAATAAAAAATAAATAAATTCAAGAAATGACCAAAATCGACCTTGTTATTCCGTGCATCTTTACGAAGGTCCACATACATATTCACAAGTCGATCACGTAGTTTTTCTTCAATAACGGGTTGCTTTCGTTTACACATTGCAATGTATCGTCTAAAAAAAATCGATTTCGAAAAAAAGACTAATATTATTTTTACAGCAAAAAATACAGGCACCGAAATTCATATGCAAATATGAAACAATGAATGACCGAGTAAAATTCAAGTATCACATTATGATATATGTTGAAACTTTAAACACTTGCTATAATTAGTAAAGGAGCAACTCGAAATATCAAAAGTTAAATGTATGGTTTCATTATTTGAAATATTTAGAAAAAAATATGTAGCTTTCATCTTTTTAAAATTAACCTAATTAGGGTCATATCAAGTGGCTTCATTCCTTCCTTCTCTGGTTCACGTCCTTTCATGTGAACATATGTGATATGCTCTGCCAAACGCTTGTCACTCTCACGATCCGGCCGGTCCTAAGTAATTTATTAGTTCAAATGAAATGAATTTAGAAATTCAAATCTGCAAAAAATGAAGACCAAAAACCTGAATAAGCCAGAGAAGATCAAAACGTGAGAGAAGTGCTGCTGGAAGATCGATATTATGTTCAATGCTTCTTTTAGGATTATATCGTCCAAATGCCGGATTCGCAGCAGCAATAATGGAAACACGAGCATTTAGCGTTGTCAAAATCCCTGCCTTAGCTATTGATATTGTTTGCTGCTCCATAACCTAAATATGGAAGAATTAAAGTCAACAATGAAGCTCGATTTGAACAGAGGATAGCACCTAAATTGAAAATTTTCATCTCCATTTCTAATACTTCAAATACAAAAACTGGCCAACTGGCCATTTTCAATCATGATTTCTAGTGATGATATCATCCATCGTAACGAAGAAAAAAATTCAAAACAAAACAAATCAATAGGGGGATTAAGTTAAATTTTATCAAGTTCAAATAGAACTAAGTGAAAAAGCCGCACTTCATGGATGGCCGTTCGATCAGCATCCATCATTTTATCAAATTCATCGATACAACAAATGCCTCGATCAGCTAGCACCAATGCTCCTCCTTCCAATGTCATTTCACCAGTAACAGGATCTTTCATTACAGCAGCCGTAAGACCAACACCAGAAGAACCTCGACCAGTTGTATACTGAGAACGAATTGCCAAACGATCAACATAGGACAGAAGTTGCGATTTTGCCACACCCGGATCACCCATCAAAAGAATATTGATGCAACCTACATCAAAATTAGAAATATGCGAATGAAATAATATTAAGTCAAATTTAGTCTTTTTTCTAAAAATCGACGATACTAAAAAATGCGAGCCAGTTATTAGCTACTATAAGCAAATATATTAGTCGTTTTATAAAATAATTTAATCGTAATTAGGGAACCAGAAAGCTACATTTAAAATTGAAAATATAGAAAAAGTAACAAGTATGTCAGATATCGGAAAGGAAAATGTATAAACTTCAAATCAACGCCTTTTTGAAGAGAAGTTTTGTATTTCATAACACAGTTTATCTCTTTATATATATATATATATATACCAAAATAGGTTAACATTACTCTCATATACAACTCTTAAAACCACACCTCTAACTTTCATCCCACTAACATTTTTGTCAACACCGCCAACGAGAGCAAGCATTAACGATTTTTTGACATCCATATGCCCATAGATTTCCGGAGCAATACTATAGGCCAATAACTCGTAGAAATTATCCTGCGAAACTATTTCAATTTCTTCATCAGTCAATTCGTATTGTTCGCCAAGGATATCTTCAGTGTTCTCAAAAATTAGCTTTTTCTTAGATTTTCAATAAAAGAATGTTTAAGAAATGACTGCATGACTTTGAAAAAACGACTGGAAATCCATTATTCTACTCCTAGGATACTGTTAAATTATTTTGATGAATATGTAATCGAAAATATCTTATCGTTTTTTGGTATATGATTCTGATAATTTTGAGGTTCAAGAAACTTCGAAAGAAAAACTTCAGCTTTCCGGAGGATAAGATGCAAAAACATACACTGCGATTGTTGTGAAAAGTGAGAATTAAGATAATACGTGAAAATATAAAAAAAGTACCAACCATATTGATGTTTTCGATATGATGTGCCTCGACAAAAACTTCCGTTGTTAAGCCACCAGTAAACTGTCGGAAACCAGTCCGCATTAAAGGGGCAAATGTACCAGTAATTCGGACGACATCGCCTGGTACACAAGCTCTTGTGTTTTCGCCGACAACATTTACTGTTAAAGAACGCGGGATGCTACCAACAGGAACTTGTTCACTCTAAAATCAAAAGCTGAAAAAATTAAATGAGACTTAAAATCTGTATATAATGAATAAAACTGTAACAAAATGCTAGAATCTTCACACTTCTTGTACAACCAATTTTCAGTTGGCGTGCGAAATAACGATCTATTTCTTTGAGGACCTAAAATAAGATTTATTCTAAAAACTTTGTAAAATAAGAATAATAAAGAATTACAAGCTCCTGAATCCTCATTTCTTGAAATTTAACAAATTTTGATCCACGAATCTGCATTTGCAGACGTCCATTTGCCCTGTTTTCCACGCAATCTTTCGACGGGCAATTAAGTGGCGGCATAAATGCAGGTCCTGCTATCTGAAATTTTGAAAATTTATTTCTAGTTACTGTTAGGGGGACTAGATTTATGCAACTTATCGCTCTGTAAACACTGCATTCCTTAAGTAACACCCATCTCTACCTGTACAATTTGAGATTTATAAAAATAAGTTTTATGTAAAAAAAAAATTAACCGGCTGATAGGTTTCACAACCGCAAGTGTCGCAAGTATAGGTCATAACAGAAGCCATTGGCTTCACTTCAGTAGACCGGATAACAATACCACTTATTACAACCAGCTTACCGACGTGAGCTGCTTTCACTTCTCGTATTGCCAGCGGTTTACTCGTAGAGCTTCCCTTGAAAAATATTTCACTGAAATATAGAAAATTTTCTTTGAAGACGGCTCAAAGACATCCTTCAATGTATGCAATTTTATTAAAAAATAGAGAGCAAGTAGAATTTTCAAACAGCTGTGTAGTTCAAGCAATATAAAAGGCTAAAATTACATTGAAGTTTGCTTCTTGTGTGTGACCGAGCAAATCTAAATAAACTAAAATTGCCTCATATCAGGAAAAAATGTTAGAACTTTTGAAATTTACTTCAAAGAGATATATCAAAAATCATACAATCGACGAAGCAACTGAGGCGGATATTTTTTGCGCAAATCTTGAACTTGATCTGTTCCACATCCATCTTCATTTTGCTTCCTGTCCAAATATACACGTTGAAATATGAAAGCATCCAAGGCATCTCGAACAGGTGGCTAAACATATATTTGAGTATTGTGGATAAAACTACAAACTAAAAAATTTTTTGTCTTTTAAGTAATTGCAAAAAAAAGGGGAGAAAATCAAGAAAGCAGTAAAAACATAAAGTAGTCAGAGCAATATATTTTCTTCTTAGAATAAACATCGACTCGACATATGATATCACTAGTTTGATAATCTGACATTATTGCCAAACATAGTACAAAAGCTATGGTGACAAGCTTGAAAGCAATAGAACACTATTGTGTAAGTAGTTGAAAGTACATCACCATGCATCATGCACCCATACATCACCATGACAATAAGAGGTAGAAATACAAAGATATTTTAGACAAATGAAGCTTTTGGCTAATAAAATACAAAAGAATAGTTGACATACCTGTCTCTCGCCCAATTTCTGCTGGATTAAAGAATCGACTACGTCACCAAAAAGCATATGATAACGTCGAGCGTTCTGCTGAATAGCAATATAAAGAGCAGGATCGTACTCATTTACATCATCCATATTGATATATAGTCCAACCTACAAAATCTTTATGAATACTAACCAATTATCACATTATAATAGCTTCATAACGAAGTTTTTTGTACCATAAGGCAAAAGACCCTATGTTTAAGGTGATTATTAATCAGCACTTCTATTTTCCTCTTAATTAAGTCAGGCTTCAACTTATTATGCCTACTTCATTAAATTTCAATTATTTTTAGAAAACCAATTTAAACTGACCATGATTCTTGACTGATGAATAACCTGCAAAACCTGCAATTGTGCCCAATTCTGCCACTACAACACTATTAAAATAGCTAATCCCTACTAATACTGCTGCCATGGATATTGTCAATATAACGACCACTCTTTACTTTGATTATCATTAGCAGTATTAAATTATTTAGAAAACCTGTTCACGTTCGGCAAGGAGAGCAATTTGCTTATCGTATGGAAACAATTTCACACCATCAGCCTTTTCATGATAAAATGTAGTTAGAAAATCCTGTATTTTCTCTTTCTCTCGGTCGTAATCAGTGATTTCATAAGCCATTTCAGAGCAGCCACTGAAACATCCGTTTTCATATGAGCCGTATAGAAAATAGCGATAAGTCTTTAATGGACTACAAATTCAGTATATTTCCCAAAACGAAGAAAGTGAAATTAAGAATAGGTAATATTCAAGGCAAAATTGTTTCTTATCACTGAAATAATATAATGATCACAACTCAAATAAGCAAACTTTGATATTTTTCACTCCACAATCACATATCACTTGTATACAAACCCTATTCATTATTGCTGCCCTTGGACACTCCATTCTATCTAGAACAAGCACATGTATTGGAATCTAGAGTGTACAGTGACGATTCAAGAGTTGTGTCATGCGTTAACCAAAGATTACCAGCATAAACTCATATGACCAAAAAAAAGTAATACATTATTCGTAGACCTTCAAGTTTGATAAGTCAGTTCATGTCAGTTTGCTGCCATGACAATTCCAGAAACACAGAGTGACCACCAGTAAGGTTATTCAGAAAAATCATCTCTATTCCTCTTTAAATTACTCAACACAAACCGTCGTACCCTGTCAAATCAATTTGAAGAACATGGATCGAGAATTTAAATTCAAATACTTAAATCTACCCCTTCTCCCTTCCACAGCACTTCAAGAACACAGGTGACTGTTGAAGCTTTATATCATTTAAATAGTCATAAATGCCAACTGATTGGTTACCAAAGCCAAATGGAGAGTATGCAGCGTGAAGGAATAAGATAAAGATCTGTTCGGAATGATTAATTTAAGGTTATGTTGTTCCTGTTGCGTTTAATTGAAACACGAAATATTTGGACATAATTGCTGTTATCGGTAGTAAAGTCTAACTGTCCGAAATGTGTGTGACAATGATATTATGCACGAAATGATCCGATATCGATGGTTAAGATAAGATGAGAAATGCTTAGGAAATCTCAAGGGAATATATCACCTTATATGACGGGCTCAGCGCTCAAGCATCCAATAACGGGCTCAAGTGACTTTGGCGATACTGCGATTTGGTTATTGAATGCTGCTGATATGGTTATACATCAAAAGGTCCTGGCCACCTCATTGCTTCGTTTATGCCTAATGGGCTCAATATACTTGTTGAACAGTACCAAATCTGAAATATGCTTGGCAGCTTTCTCTTTTTCCAAACCCAGTTCTCTTTAATTCTTGGCCTCTGCATGCAGTGCAATAATTAAGAACGAGTGGGAATGAAATATATAAAAATTTTCATTATGATATCGATAAGCATCACGCCACGTCACGTTACGTAGGCATGTAAGATCACTTCAGCGCTTTCGTTACGTATCCTCGAAGTAGCTATTTCAATAAATGCTTAAAAATGGTATACTTCAATCGTAACGATAACGATAGAGATTGCATAATACAACATTCCCTTCTCTGAATATTATCTAAAGTCTCTCTATTAAGAGGAAAAAGACCAGAAGATATTATTAGATAGATTCGATAGGAAGTGGACGAAGTTAATCAGTTGGAATGACTCAACCGGTCTGTAGATATGTAATTGACTTGTTGATTTTGTCAGTACGATGGGCTGATTTACTCATAAATTTCGCTTCTTTGTATTACAGAAATGAACATTCTTAAGTAATCACTCTCACTAACCTCAATCTTTTTATCAGCCCTTATCATCTTTTCAACTGTAACATCCTTTTCCCTTTCCATCAGTTCATCCATCTCAAAAGTGCTTAATGATTGGAAACATTGTTTTCTTGAGAAGTGTTCTGTTTTTCTCACTCTACTGAATCCACTGTCCCATTTGTATAGTGGATAAGTCACTCCGCTTCTTTCACTAACAGGTGGACTGCTTCTCAATGAGCAGTCATGGATGTTGTTATAGGTAGTAAACTTGTCCTCCTGAAATTATGACTGTTCTCGTTCTGTTTTCCATTTGGTACCTTCTAATTATGGGTATCCTTTTTTATTTTATTATGGATCATAGATAGAACAGTAGGGCATGCCAGTTCTCGAACAGTCTTGCACAGATCCTTGATACTACAATATATCAGATATATTTGGGTGAGGCCATCTTGATCGCATCAGACAATTAACTTAACTCTTTTGCTTATAGACTATCGGATTCAAAATTTCGGTGCTTTGAAGTTATACCAAAAAATTCTCTATTGTTCTGTTAGGTTTTCGACTTTTTTTGTGCAATTCGAAGATGGCACGGACTGTAGATAAAAGTAAGCTTCATAAAGAACCATCATCGTTTACCGTTGGACCATACACATTTACAAACTGTCAGCTAATAGGCGAAGGAACATATGGTACTGTCTACAAAGCGTACGATATTCAGCAGCGGACATATTTTGCGGTAAAAGTGATCAGATTAGACAGGTATGACTTGATTTAATTCATTTGTTACAGATTTATTCTATAACTAACATGGTACAAGTAACCATACAATTCGATGCTTCGTTTGCTTTACCTCTTTAACATTCCTCACATTTATTGAGCTAGTGGTACCTTGTGTTACTCCATTAGGATATTGATTCTTTTTTAGTCGAGAAGGTGTACCTGGGACTTGTCTTCGAGAAGTGTCAATTTTGAAAGAACTTATTCACCCAAATATCGTTAAAATTCACAACGTTATCCCAAGCGATGGTCAGTGAATGAATAATGATGATATTTGAATCAAAAGCAGTGCAGTTATTGTCCAGCTTTTATATAACTTATTTTCGTACGAATTCTGATTTGATAGCAAACGAATATCTGCAGCTGGATAGAATCAACGCACAGAGATACATCGTTTTAAAATGTTAAACAAGTCTAGAAATACTGCCATTTGCGGGTTGGGGAATAACTAGCTATTAAGGTGTATATGGGAATATTTGCTTCCTGATGACCGCAGAGTTTTGATGATTTTGATTTATTGATTAGGATAAAAGTTAGTGGTTGAAGTAGTCCGCTCAAATACAATATTATTTTGCAGGGTATAAGAAAATATATCTGGTGTTCGAACACATTGATTACGATTTGAAAATGCTTATAGAAAAATTGCGACCCAAACCCTTTCCAATGCCTTACATTAAAGTAATTTAGTATATTGATTCTTTGCTAAAAAATGTTTCATTTAGGAGCATTTAAGCCAGAAACAGCTTCTAATTTCTATTTTTTCGGAAGCAACTTATAAGTACAGCGTATGAATCCCAAAAATATTAATACCACTACACAAATTTTAGAGTTTCTTATGGCAGCTGCTGCGAGCTCTTACCCTCTGCCATGCAAATCGTGTGTTGCATCGAGATTTAAAGCCGCAAAATATTCTAGTTGCTGTAAATGGTACTGTTAAAATTGCTGATTTTGGTCTTGCACGTTCCTTCACAATACCTTCAAGATGTTATACGCATGAGGTATACTATATATACTCATAAATTTTACTTTTCGACTGTACAAATAATAGACACTCGAAGTATGTCAATGTGACCTAATGTTTACCAGGTTTAGATAGCTTTTTTCTTGATATAACACATAAATTCATATGACATTATTGTGACTTTAAATTCGAGAGAGGTTTATAAGATAATGCAATGCTTTTAAAATTTTTGGTTAATCATTTTCACGTTTAATATGTAGTTTGCTTTTCGCAGACATTTGGTACATCTAGGAAGGTGTACAGAGAATGCTGCATTTGAGAGTTTCGACGATTCAATTTCTGAAAGTAGCTTCATTCTTAATTTCTTTTTGTTCATCACGAACTGGAAATTAGTTGATATGTAAAAATTTTTTGCAGATAGTAACACTGTGGTATCGTGCACCCGAAATTCTACTCCGTTCAAGATATTATTCAACAGCAGTCGATATATGGAGTTTGGCTTGCATATTTGCTGAGCTAGTTACCTCTGAACCGCTCTTTCGTGCAGAATCTGAAATCAGTCAGCTACTTAAAATATTTCAAATTCTAGGAACTCCTACCGTGGAAGTGAGTTAAGGACCATTTATTTATGTGTATTTTCTTGTGGTGTGTATGACTTCCTTTTTCAAAGAACACAAGGACACGAATATTTGATGTTTCTTAATTCACGAAATATCATAAACGCATGTCCTACAGATGAAATGTTTTAGATTTGGCCTGATATGATAAATTGCATTGATTACAAAGATAGTTTCCCGCAATGGACAGAATGCGTCCTGGCGGAACATGTACCAGGTCTGGATAGTGATGGTCTAGATTTGCTTGCGGTAAAAATTATTTAAATCACATAAATTATTGTAATTGATATTATTTCTGTGTTTTTAATTAACTTTGTTTTTATTGGGAATCTTAATTGGCAAAGACTGGTGCAACCTAATGTAGATCTTGAAAAATTGCATGATCATTCGAAGCACGGTTAAAAGGTATAAAAAACAGTGATGTTTGTTTAGGGGTATTCTTTAAAAAAATTCTTTAGATTATTGATTGTTCATTTGAGCTTCGGTTATTAATTGTTCATTTGAGCGGAACCTTTCAAGAATTTTGCTTTGAGAGTTTTACACCACCATTTCTAATCCCAAAAATTCCTTTGATCAAAGTTGTTTTTCTTTCCACTCTCTGTTGTTCCCGCTTTATTTCATTAATGATTTTGTCAAATTGTGTCGATTACAGCAAATGCTGCTATATCCACCTGAAGAACGGATAACTTCAAAAGCAGCACTCAGTCATCGTTTCTTGAGAGATGTGCCGATACATATTGAACCGGTCTTGACATTATTTGGACCAGATAATGAATGAAGGATCAAATTTTATAGTTATGACAAATTCCTCCCAGTTTCAATGAGACATCACGTCCATCACTGGATGATTTTTTCAAATCACCTCTGTTTATATCCTTTATTCTTTATAATTATGTGGTAGAAATATTTATTGGCAGGATTTCGTTTGCGTAACAACAACAAATGAAAGATATTTGATCCTGAATATCATTGTCAGTAAAACTTTTACTGAAAGGTCGCGTTCTTTCACGTAGAAATCGTTTTCTTCTTCATACAGTAAAATGTGTTTGGAGTATTTTCGTGCTTATAATTGTTATGGTGTGTCTTCTTTATATGCCGAACAAATCGGATTTAGATAAAATGTTTTTTTCAACTAAAGATTTACCTAATTTATTAAACTCAAATGTTTGTCGGTCAATATGAATGATTCCTTTTCGATTTATGGATCGGAAACATTTTACTTAATTTAATGAAAACTCAACCGGCTGTATCAGTTAGTGAAAGTTGGATACATTATTTGAAATACTAAACTCATTTTGCAATTCTCAGTACTGTATGGTGACGTTTATGGATTTTCGTATCTCTGAGAGCTTAGGAGTAACTAATCTAAATTGTTCAAGAGGAGCAGACAGGTTTTTTTTTTCCAAAGTGAACGAATGCATTATGGGAGTTCTTGCTCGTTTATATTTTATCTTACTATAGGCGACAATTGTACAGCAGAGTTGTCAAAGGAAGTTAATGATGGGAAAAGGTCACAATTCACAATACGTTGGGGGTTACGTATGTAATCTGAAAATGCAGGAAAGATGAAATAAGAAAGAGAAGAGTGAAGTATGGATTTTATGTTTGAAAAATACAATCTCCCGTCGAAAGTTTCGTTTTGTGTTCCGTCTTTTTTTTTTTTAAATTGCAACATTTGTCATATTTTTTGTTTAAATCATATGCAATAAAATGTTATTAAGGGTGTAGCGGAAAGGGATAGTCAATATCTAATGTACGTTAGAAATTCGAAACAGAGGATTATACAGTTGATATGGACGAGCATTTTTCATCGCTTAGATTCCATTTCCATCCTTAGGTACGTGGTTAATGTTATTTCATAAAAGCAGTTGTTGGTATTAAGTGTGTAATGTTGGTAGCGAACTACAACTGACAAACTGTTCTTTCGTCAATTGTACAACCCAATAACAACGATAAATTCACTTAACTAAAGGCTGCATACAATTCCCAGGAGAAATGGGACAGAAAAACCCGGGAGTAACTTTAATGCCTTTTATCCAGGTTTCTTGGATAAGGTTTGCCCAAAAAAGCCCTTTAAATGCTAACAATTCAAAGCGGAAAGTTAACTTATCTCTGCTTGCAGTTCGCGCAATGCATCTCTTAAAGCTTCTAAGGGCAATATCACCTGCACTTTGAGGGCACCAACCGATAGTGAAACAGCTTAATTGGTTGGCCGAAGATAGACGGTTTTCCTTTTCAGTTTCGGGAAATATGCAAGCTGCTGGTAGTACCTGTATTACTTGAGGCATCATGGAGATGCCACTAGCCACCTTGGACTGCGATGCCAACTTGGTTTGATAGTACCATCTTGGTGTGATCTATACCGATATGATGTTATCAGCTTGGGTTGTACAGATAGTGTCAGTAATGATGTCAGTCTGATGAACCAGTAATACCATGAATAATTAGTACTTTTGGAAATATTACGATTCGAAGAATAAGCAGCGGGTTAACTTTGAGTTGTTCTTTTTTTTTCAGGAATACAGAAAGGATTTGGATAATGTGAGACAAGATCTTTTGAGGTGGAATGATGTGGAACGACGATATCCGCGAATTTGAGTATGGTTGGGCGGATGATTCTGATGAAATATCCGAGTCGCAAAAACCAACAATTATATTAATGGGATTAAAAAGGTTTCTTCATTGTGAAGTATCGAAATTATTACCAGGAAATGATGGGTTATAAGCTTGCTCAGCTGCGCGATCGGGTCACTATTTTAATATTGTAAGCAAACAATTATCGTGTAGCATAGAGAGTTAGACAAATATGAAGGCTTAAATTATGTATAGATACATTAGGTATCATATTTTGTTACTTCATTATATACTTTTAGGAGCGGGAAAACATCGATACGAAAGGTTGTTTTTAATAAAATGTCACCGAATGAGACATTGTTTGTTGAGAGTACGCCGCGCGTAACAACGGAAACGGTTAAAGGGTCTTTCATTAATTTTGAAGCAATTGAATTTCCGGGTCAGATGAGTCCTTTTGATAATGCAATGAATCCTCACGATACATTTGCTCGCTGCGGTGCATTACTTTTTGTCATTGATGCTCAGGTTTGTAATATAGTACGATTTTTAGTTGTTAGACGAAATCTGTTTTACTGCTATAATACTGTATTTGTTGAAAATTTCTCAACAAGTTCAGTTTTGTTTACTTAGAGGTCCTATTCTATTTGTTTATGCAAAACAGTGCAGACAGGTTTTCAGGATGACTATTCTGAAGCTCTGAAAAAAATGGTCGAATATTTCAAAAAAGCATGCGAAATCAACGATAAAATTAGATTTGAGGTAAGTTATTTCCTCCATAATTTTGACTTATTGAATATTCTGAATATTGTTTATGGTAGGAATGGATAGTTTGGGTTACTAGAGTTTATTAAACACGCTAATTTTGTGTGTACTTAAGCACTGGAAAATTTGAAACGTTTTGGAAGATTTTAAGGAAGCCTCATCTTTTTTGATTTGCTCGGGAGATAAAGCATTCAATAAAGGAACAGTCTCCGAAAATGAAACGTATAAGACTTAACCAAGCTTGGATTGGATAGAAAATTAATAAAATTGTATGAATATTAAGTCTGTGTATCATTTTGACAGTACAAAAACAGTGAAAATCATAATCTTTTTATTCCGGATAAGTCAACGCTTTTTCTAAGCTTTTTAGTAGCTTACATTAATCACCAATTTCCTTATTTCTGATTTTGACATTAATATAAATTTATGGCTTTTAAGATGTGTATTAAATGTATACTTCTGAAATTATTCCGACAGTTTTTATAAAGCAGATTTTAGCCTATATTGTAGGTATTTATCCACAAAGTGGATGGTCTAAATGAGGAAATCAAATTAGAAACACAGCGTGATATATTTCAACGTGTACAGGATGATCTTCAGGATGATGGCCTTGACAAATTCCATGTAACGTGCGTTTCGGAATATGACTTTTTTGAATTTCACTCATTTTCCCTACTTACGACTAACACACTAATAACTATAATTTCTTGTACTGTCAGTATCATACGTTTGGCGCAGAATCAGGTTATTGCTTTTATTTCAGGTACCACCTGACTTCTATTTATGATCATTCCATATTCGAAGCATTTAGTAAAGTTGTGCAAAAGCTTATAAAACAATTATCAACTCTGGAGCGACTACTTGACATTTTCAATCAGGCAAGTGTTTTTCCACATTTTGAAAAGTTCTGTTCTTCAGATTATTCGGTAATATGTCAGGGAATATTATACCAATTTGTTGAAATTCCTCCAGTAGCTTGCTTGTTCGGCCTGAATTGAAACAGGTAAATGTTAGTGCGTGCTGATTTTGGACTTCCTATAGAATTGAAATCATTTGTCTTTAAATAATGTTTCTTGTCTAATGTTGAACTAATTTTCATAGTAAGCCTGGTTCCGCAAGACACGATTAATTCAACTGTTACAGTAGCTAGCTAGATCTAATTTTAGATTAAAGGTTTTTTCTTTTTTCTATGCTTGCAGATCCTGGAAATTCGTTCGGAATAAGTATTTTATTATAGGGTTCAAATGTTGAAAAAGCATTTCTTTTTGATGTGGCAAGTAAAATATATATAGCGACTGACTCATCGCCGGTTGATATGGCGACATACGAACTTTGCTGTGACATGATTGACGTAACCATTGATATATCTTCTATATATGGGTGAGTGTTTTAATACTATCATTGATTGGAAGTGAGAATTCGGTCGCAGTGAAAGCGTTGACTTTTTTCTCTCCAGCAAAAAAAAATTTCTTTAACTGAACAATCCCTTTACATCAAAAAAAGCTGTTCTTGTAGGTGTTCAGATGATTTATCGTGCACGATATTTGATTCTCAGTCATCTGCGGTCATACATTTGCGAACTGATCAAGTGTTATTCTTACGACAGGTATTCCTCTGGTTATCCACATTTCACTTTGCTTTAATTAGAATTCTCATATACCAGCTAGAAACATTCTTCCCATCAGCCTTATTGCAATGTACTCCATCCTTTCATTTTTACTTCTCATATAGAGAAAAGATTGCAGGTCAATATGTTTCTTGCTCTTGTTTGTATCATACGCTCTGAGAACTTCGAGAAGCAAGGCCTTATTGACTACAACTTCCAGTGTTTCAAAGGAGTAAGGTTCACTGTAGAGCATTTTTTCTTTTAGATCAAATTTTGATTTTTCGTATAAAAAGTGAACAGTCTAGATGCTGATTAGAACCAAACTTGGCAAAGATGCATCAAGGTCGAGAATATTTGTTGGGCGTAAATAGTCAGATTTAGGAAGAATGTTAGTCGCTTGAGTTTCAAGATCGGTCTTCGTTTTTTTCCAAAACAAGTCAGTGGTTTTGGCTGACCCAACTTTTGCAGGCTATTGAACGCGTGTTCCAAATTCGAAATAGATTGAATTCGAGAATAAATAATTAGTCAGTGGCCGAATGAAGCCAACACATCTTTGAATGGCATTTTCCACATTTTAAAAATATTTGAAAATCTGAAGGTGCTTCTGTCTGAAGACTCATAATGTTTCTCAGTGTTGTTCAACTCGATGTTCTCCTTCATCTTCCTTTTGTAATGGTTTATTTATAACTCGATATAATTCAGTATCGTCTTCTTTTTTGGATAAATCAATATGAATCATTTATCCTTTCTCATCACATATTATGTGATTTAGGGGGAGAAGAAAGAGGCATTGATTTCGATGCAAGTAATTTATTTTTACATTTTTCGGTGAGTTCAAAGAACTCCAGAAGACAAGAATTGAAATAAGAGATGTTATACTTTTATTCGATTTTAACAACAAAGTATAGGATGTATCGTGAATTTTTTGTAAAATTGTTGAGAGGTCCGTCAAGAGCCAAGAATCACCACCTCAGATTTGTTCAGGATTGACGATCCGTTGAATTGATTGAACAAGTTCCTTGAGTCCAACAAGCTGGGTTGAGTTGAATTATATTGTACACGCACCAGATTGTAGAAAGTTTTATTGATAATCGTCCCTACGTTCAATACAATAGGGTTTATATACTAGGAAGTGGGAGTGGTTTTCATTAAACATTTGTAGGTGCTTTCACACATACTGGAAACTGTCAAGATCCAATCACAGCATAAGCATCGTAGCAAGATCAAGTGGGAAGATTAGAAGGTGAATTTGGATAGATATTCCGAGCGATTGATAGCAAAGGCATTTCCTGTAGGAAGTGAATACAAAGATGTGAATTTAGATAACAATAAAAAGATGGGAAATAAATCTAAGGAATGTAGAATTAGTTAAATGAGTCATAATGAGGAATTTATTTATTTGTTTGGAATTTAGTTGGAGTTTCACGAATTCGGAATTCGCGACAGAATGCTCAGTTTTTGAGAAATAATAGGTGGATCTATGTTATTTTGCAATGAAACCACTTTTGAAATGACTTTGAATATCTTGATTCGGCTTGAAAAGAGATTGGAAACACAGGCTGGAATTTCATTCCATATATGATTTAGACACTACTGTTAACGACAATTTGGATAAGAGGACTGCACTATAAAAAGTATAAACCAAAACTACTTGAATCCTGTCACGAATTCCGATTCGTGAGACTCCAACCATACCCCAAACAAACAAATAAATTTCTTGTAAATAAATGTTAGCAATAGTGTAAATCATTTAACCAATTTACATTCTTTAAAATTATTTCCCATACGTTTCTTTTGTT